AGGTGCTTACTTTCATTATCAGAGGTTTAGATTGTAATGTAATACGATTTAGTGAAAACAGAGTAATGTCAACGACAACCAAGAACTTGACATTGTGAGAATAGGCTATATGGGAGTCTCCTCCCTAGAAATAGGATCGATGTTTTCATTATGGATATACTGCTACCGAAAGGTTGTTTTTATGAGTACTCGTAGGAAAATAATGTTCTCTACCTGAAGTTAAATCGAATGTGGTAAATCTATTAATGATTTTTTAGTTAAAACCTGGCACATTTTGTAACTGATTGGTGTGAAAAAATTGAAAGTTATTTTCATAAATTATTCAATTTTTCTTTCATAACTCGTCAACAGATTGACAATTTGAACAAAGAGTACTATAAATAATTGATATCGCATTACGACATGATCTGTATACTCACTTCATTTCCATAACACATCATATGATGGACTGTGACTAAGGCTTTATATACAACTATCCAGTTTGTGTTTTGTGATCTTTCAATCAACAAATTTGCTAGCTGTGGGATTGATACGTTGGGTTCGTTAGTACAATGCACCAAATCTGAAACAAAAAAGACAATCATACTTAATTTAGAGTGTCCGAAGAAGCCATTGTATGGCAATACAGTGTTTTTGAATACAGTAGCTAACTGATAGCAAAGATGGATTGAGTGTAAATTTCACCTCTCTTTTACATACGATACAAGGTCTCTTTGCTGGTAACTACAAATATTTCTTTCAAGGTATAACTCATTTTGTAATTAACTGTGCTTGAATCAACAGAAGTTACCACCTGGAAGATGAGATTCTGTTCAGAATCGAAACCGTTTGATATTTCTTTGACCGTATGTGGTATGAGGGTTCGCTGGCAAACTTCGATGCTGTGGCTTGTCGGATCACTTTTGTGTATGGCTCTTCAACTTCCTGAAAGAATGTTCCCTGCAAGTGGCCATCGATGGATATCTCTCTAATACTTTCACAATAACCCTCTTTTTATTGTATATCAACGACTTATTGGAAAAAACCGAGAATCCAATATATTGCTTTGCTGATGACAGCACACTTATCTCGTCATTCCATTTGGATTCCAGGACATTGGCTACGGAGGAACATTTTCACCGGCAGCAGGAGGTTGCATATCTTAATGAGGATCTAGAAGTGATTTCGATTTGGGGTGAANAATAATGACCAAATTCAACGCCAGAACCACAGTGAACAATGACTGCATGAATATTATAATAGTGGTCTGCTAGGTTGAAATGTTCATCTATTTCGAACCTTCCAAAGAGTTTCTTGCTTCCGTTAGGGGTTGAGTCTTGTTTGAAGATCATCAGTGTTATTATTAGAAGAGTACTACGGAATATTGTTACGGACTATCGCTGTCACTAATTTTCTATTAATATGTTGGTTATCAATTAAAAATACAAAAGTAACCGGTTTATTAATATTTATAACTTTAACAACATAAATAACAACTCAACACTATACTTCAATCACATTTTGTAATTATCGCAATTATTTCTCTATCGCTTTCTTCGCTTTCGAACTAATCCGTGCTATAATCCGAAATCTGTCGGTCGATACTTACCTACACATAAATTCTCAAATGTTTAGGAACCATTTTTGACTTTTTTAATGAATCTTGCACTGTTTTCCATTCAAATCTCAACAGACAACATAACAAATTATTTTACCGAACACAAAGCTAGCTTTGCAGCTGACCGCCTTGGGAAGTCTTGTTTACCCTTGATTTTCGAGGATCGAGTTTTCTATCGTTCCTGTAGATGGTGTCTTCGTACGGAGAGATATTTTGCATCATTTACTTTGCATCATTTACTTGGCATAAAATATCGAAAAACAGTCCTATATAACATTTCTTGCACAAAGTCGAACACTCTTCTCTAGCATATCGTTCACTTGTTTCCAGTGGAATGCAAACAACCAAGTGCTTCTTTTTATCAAAGCGGATATTCTGTTCGATGTAACTGACATTGAGGATGTTGACATTTCACAGTGCCTTTCGGAGTTATGTCAAAAGTTTTTCCATAATCTCTCTTGTGAATTCCGATTGCGGTAGAGTTCTTCTATATTTTTTGTGGATTTGCCATGCATTGTACAGAGAAGGGAAACCACCACCATTTTCCTCTCAGATTCTTACTAATAAGCTACCCGGAAATATTTTTATTGATAAAATCCGTCCTTTCTTTCGATGGATCTCATTTTCTTATTCTATAATTTGAATAACTACCATTCGTTGACTTCATATTATATATAGACTTTTTCAAAACTAAATCAAGTTTACTTTGATTGCGATCGAGGTGGTGTGTTTCTCATAGTCCGAGATGCAATCAACAATTCCATGACTGCTCAGTAGTTTTATTTCATCTGTAACCTGAAGTTGTGTACCAGATAAATTGACAAATAGAGCCTCCTTCATCTTCGTTCCTAGAGACTTCATCTTCAGAACAGAGCGTCAATGGATTCAATCAATTTTTCATCACGCTGGTTGCCACATCTTCAGTTCAAGTGTTATAACCTATAATTCTATGATGGCACCAATAATACAACAATAACATCGTTATACCAATAAAAACACCTAATAAAACGAATCATTTGCGAAATATTTGTATTATACTCATTCAGACGTTGGGTTCATAGCACTTTCATGAACAAAGACGCGAACATTAGCAACCTTGATAGCCTGGAACATTGAAGAAAGGTAGGAGATTTGCCTCTCTTCTATAGATACTTTTACTGAAAGTGTTCAAATGACTTTACACATTTGACTCCACCATTTGTCCATAAAAAACAATTTGAGATAAAATGAAGTACGAAGTGTTTCACCAATTTCAAAAAAAAACAAAACTACAATTTAACTTCATCAGAGATTAAATTTCTAATAACGAAATCATACGGACTGTTGGTGATGTGATGGTTGAAAGTAAGCCGTGAACTAAATGCAATTCATAATATAACAATATAAATTTTATTAAAACAACGATAAAAATAAAATACAAACAACAATAAAAATTAATTGGCGCTCCGGGGCGACTTCATTGATTCCAGTGGCGCATTTGCTTTTTCAGTACAAGAAAACCCGGCACCACATCATCTGAAGATCTTGATCTAACAATGTCCTCTCTCTTATAAAACAAAATGTAGGGTGTCTCCAGAGGC